GTTTTTCTCATGCCTTTTTTCTTTTTCACATATTGACTATCAAACATGCAAGGTAATTTTGATATTAAGATTAAAAATACTTTTATGCATCAGAAAATTTTCAAATTTCACATGCAAAATCTTTATAATGTCCAGATAGTTATCAAACATTCCTTAAAAAGCTTTATATTTTATCTGTTATTTTACCACAAATCTCTGTAAGGGTTTGGCCGATTTGACCGATCTCATAACCACCATAAAATAAATAAGGAAATAAATATAAATTATAATTTTTTTGTTTTATAATGACTACGAATTATATCATGAAAACACAAATGTTTAGTCTAAATAGCTTAAACCTCATAACAATATACATTTAAATATATATATATATTTTTATATTGACCTACCAGCCACGTCTGTCTAATATTACAGAAGCTGCAATGATGCGGCACATATGCAATTTTGTTACCGCATCTAAGAATATAAAACAGGCCTTTAGGTTTTACAAAGTAACCTGTCTTGGTTGTATTTTAGTGGACTAGTATTTTTTAAAATACAGTCACATTTCAGTTACAATACATTATTTATGTATATACATTATTATTATTTACAAATAAGTTCTTAAACTTATTTTTCTTAAAACATAGAACAATAAATAAAGAATTAAAGCAAACAATTATCTCTTCTAGTTACAAAATTTGTACTCATTTGCTAATAAGCCTTATCAAATTTCACACGTGGAGAATGTGAAACAAAATAATTTTTTTTAGGTTTTATATATATACATTTGAAATAACCAATAAATAATCATAAATTATTATATCCATACCTTAGATTTTCACTATAATTTATCAAGCTTAGTACCTACATTGTATTTGGGCCTAAAAAAATATGAAAGTTCGAGCAGGTGAAAGACTCACCTTATGAACCTGAAGTCTTGTATCAAAAGAACGAGTTTGACATTGTAGTACTTGAAAATAGCTGAGAAATCCACTAGGGGGACATTCTGAGCTTCAATTGGTTATTCACATGTCATAGACAGAAGTAGGTGTATATAAGGAAATGTAGGCAGGGCCACTGTGTTTGATTCAGTAAACATGGCAATATCTCAGCAAATATAAAAGATATGATGTTCTTATTTTATATTCTAGCTTGTCAATATAGATAGTTTGAGTTCCTAATTTGCATGAAACTACAGACTTTGTATTTGGACATCACAAACATTTAATTTGAACCAGTGCTGCATTCAACATACCACGTGACACATAAAAATCAATATTTAGGTGTTTTTTTAATATTTACTTTTAAATTAAGAAATTAACTAATGTATAACAATAGAATTTGAATTATAATCTACAATTTGATACCAAACTTATTGACATAAATTCATAAAAATAGTAGTTCAATAAAATTTTGAATGCAAATCAACAAACATGATGACATGGCCTTTGACCCGTATCGAAAGGATTATTACACAGTCCTAATTAGTTCACATCACAGCTTGTTAATATGCTACCATCTTAAAGGAAGTCCCAAACAGGATTATAAATTTGTGTGTGGCAAAAGCCAGGTGTTCTACCCACTCGTCTGATCTCCCACCCTCCTGAGACTCTGACAGACTATTTGAAATGTGATTGTGAGTCTAGCAGTGTAAGTACAGAGCCAATTTTGAAGAAGTTATAGAAACAAAACATTGATTGAAATAAATATTGCCTTGTTTTGGAGCTAATGATTATTTTTTTATCATACAAAATAACTACATTACTCCAGTCATCACTTCCAGATATACAATTAATGAAACAAATAGAAGAAGATAACTAGTTCTCATTCCTACAATACTAGTCATCAAGACACATAACTCATACAGTACAGGAAAATACAGAAAAACCCAAAAATACCTGTACATATATATATGTGTATATGTATATGAATCACTCCACCAGTGTAAAACCACATATCAAAGTTTGTCTAGAGTCCAAAACAAACACAATTTGTAATGAAGAAGATGCTAAGTCATCCTGAATAGATGATAAAACAAATACTAAGAATGAACAAGAATAGTACAGTAAACACAAAGCTATATCCCTCAATGACAAAGATCACTCTGAAAACATACACAGAAAATGCAAACAGCATAAATTCAGGAGTATTCAGAAGCCACAACATAATACAATCACACTTACTACACACTGAACCACCTAAAAGCTAATTGTAAAATAAAAACATCATTTATAGCATCTCTTGTACAAATGACTCCACTAAGTTAGACAAAGAAAAACAACAACAACAATAGATATACAAAGCTCTTGAATATTGATCTATTGGCAAAAGTCCATCATGTCAAAGACCATAGAATAAAATGGAATAATTCTAATACAATGAGATATGAATCATACATGAGAAAATTAAAAATAAAAGAAGTATCCCACTGTACATTCAAGCATCTAGAAAACTAGTAATATATTCAAAACATCATTTTGGAAAAAAATTTTAAAAAATTTAAGGAAGTCATGAATCAGTTGTTTTCATGGATATTTACCTATACAGTAATCTAACTTAATTACTAGTTATTTACTGTTTTTTATTGACTAAATACTAATTAGTTTATAGTCATCATCACAGTTTAATAATTTGCTGCAGTATTCAGGAAAGACCAAAAATACTCTTTATTTATGTGGAAATAGGAATCTGGATTTGATCATGGGTTTTGTTAGAAAGGCAGATGTGCTAGCCATTTATCTGTATTTTCATCTCCATTGGGATATTTAGATCACCTACTTGCTGTCTTCAGTAGTAGGTAGGCTGAGTGACTGAGGGTTATCAGTAAGCAAACTGTTGGTTTGACATTCTGTACTCATTATTTGTCACTTATTACTTATAATCATTAGTTTCAAGTTAGTTAAAAATAGTAGTAGAAGTTACTTTAGTGGCACACATTCAGAATAAAAATGTGTATTATTGTATTTTGCTTTGTTTTGTATTGCTAGTATATAGTGCACATTGTATCGAGAGACTGTTAATATATAAGTTGTAATTGGTGAGCAGTAGTAGAGTTTACACAAGCATTTGAGTGTGTGTAATTTAAAAAATCAATTTTATAAATATAGAGGTAACTAACTGCTGATTAAAATTTTGTTACATTATTTGGGAACAATTACCTAGTTGGTCTTATATGAGATACTTTTTATTGATTACAGTACTTGGTAGAGAATAAAAGTAAAGAAGGAAACTATAAAGTAAAATGGCCTCTGATGCTGAACCACTTACACTTGAGCAAGGTAGGTTTTTCTTCTGTCATTAAATTTTTCTATTATTTTTAGTCCTTTTATGACAGTTGTAAAGAAATGTATTTGCATACAGTAGACAGACTGTGCTACATAACTTAAAAACATTATTTACAGAATGGCAGTTGCTTTATAATTATAAAATTATAAATAAAAGTGAAACAAATTTTGACTTTTTTAGATTTAACCAACGACCCAATTGTAGATAAAAGGCTTGTAACACACAGGTTTGCTGACGCTACTGTCTAGTTTTCTTTATATCCAGTTTTCTTTGTTTTTTTTAATAAGTACAGGATTTAGGGGGGGTTCTTATGTGCCAAAGTTATGTAAATATTATGTACTTGATGTGTTTCCTGAATTTAAACATTTCTAAAAAGTTTAGACGAAAGTGGTTCAGATATCCTTAAAAAGGTATATTCTTAGACATTTATGTGCAAAAAATTAGAAACAACTTAGCCTTCAGAAAATGACCATGAAACCACTTGATATGATATAATCACTGCCAGCTTCTTGATTGGTATACTTCATTAAGTATATTGTAAGAGAATCTTTCTTCATGCTGAACAATGAGCTCACGTAGAAACAATTTTTTTGTTATATGCATTATTAACAAGAAAGTCACAGGCATTCGAGTACAACTAAACTCCCACTTTAACATTGAGGTTAGTAATTTTGTTTTCTCAACTTGAACATACAGGCTATTTATTGGTTCCAAAAAATGAGCAATATTAGCCCTGAATATCTAAGGTGTTTCATCCACATTTATGTATGATCAACTTTCAAACTGGAAATTTTTAAAAAATAGGGAAACCATGGGCAGTTACTAATACTGTGTATTCCTCCTGTTAAATTGCATTGATTGCTAGTAAGGAAACAATTCTTGGAATTAAGTTTTTTCAAAAATCACTGCCACCCCTATGTTACATTCTAAGTCCTGATGATTTACACAGTCAAACACCAGATCTTCCCAAGGAAATATGAAACTTTGTAGCATCTATTTCTTTTTTTTACTGAGTTATATACCTTAAACAGAAACTCACATGTTGCATGTGGATTAGAAATCATGTGTTGGATAATATTTTCAGCACAACTGGCAATGACAGAAAAGTTGAAATTCTGACCTAAGATAAGTTAGATATTTTCGTCCTAAAAATCATGACAATGAAGGATAAAGAGGAATCTTATTTATTTTTATTTTGGAAATTATGCATGGGTACACTTATAGGGGCAGAGGTGCTTAAAGGAAGGAATACAGCAACTTGTAATGAATTTGTAATGAAGTATTATGTAGAAGTATAAAATAATTCCACTTCAGAATAAGTTACAGATATCACTATTGTATAATAAATAGTAAACTTGTCAAGACAAACTGATACAAAGATATAAAAAAACAACACTTGAAGAGAGCATAAACTAAATGTCTGAACATGAGCACTGCCACATAAGAAATGATAGTTAGGTAGAAAAGAACAGAGGGAGTCGCATGTGGCACTACTATTGGTGGAGGTTTGTCGCATGATAATTTGCATGCAAGAAACAGTTAAATCATGTGAATCGAGGGGTGCATGGGAGTGAAAGGCTTGTGGCATGCCAAAAAGTTTTTGCTAATAGAGGGCAGCACTGAACATGAATAGCTATGTATGTGAGAGGAAGTAAGGTACCTTGTCAGAAAATAATTCATACAAAATTTTGGACAAATGAAGACTGCACAAATGGATATATATCTACCAAAGAAACTGTGAAAATTGTGAATCTATGAATATACTGGAGAAACTAGTAGAAATCTAAAAACAAGAATTGTCCATTTGTTACATTTTCATACAAAGCTACTTGAGAGCTATCTCTGCTAGCCATTTTGAAGAGACAAGCTAGAGGAAAGGCTGCTAGTCAAATATCACCCACAGCCAACACTTGTGAACTAGTGAACAGTGGGATTGACTGACACACTATAATTCCCCCACATCTGAAACAGTAAGCATGTTTAATGACAGATTTCAATGTTGTGACCAGCAGACTGTGAATCGAGTGGCCTAACAACCAGTCCACAAAATTTTATAAGTACTTAATAGGATCATATGTACTGTAAATGAACACATAAAAAACAACTTAATCATAAAATAAAGAATGAAAACACAATGATACTGGGTACAGAACAAGATGTACACAAAAGAAAACTTAAGGATCATTATTAAGAAAAATATACAAACTGAAAATATATATCTATAAAATATGTTCCTGTTACATTTATTGAATGCTTGGTATCACATAACTTCTGATTAAACAACTTTAAAAGCCAACATAAATTCTAGTTGATTTCTCTTTTACCAACTGAGGAAGCTTCATTAAAAAAAGTAAATTGTCTTGGTTTATGACTTCTTTTCAGTTTCCAAAGAACTACTGATGTTGTCTTAAAAGTTTTAAAAAAATGATTCAGGTCCTCTCATTAAACATATTTATTTAGGAATTATTTAAATGAAGACTAAGTACTGGTTGAGTACATAAAAACATTTTGGACTTATCAAGATTTCTTAAAACCGTGGAAGTATTTGTGGAAAATAAGTACTTCATAATTAAAATAATAATTGTTATTGATATTTCAAGTTTATTTAACAAATTGTACTGTTTTAATCATTAATGCTAAAGCACTATAGGTTGTAAACTATTGTACTGGTTTTCAATTTCTAAATTTGTTTTTAAACTTAAAACTTATAAAACAGAGTAGACCAAAATTTATTAAATTTATGCATCTAGGGAAATATTTTAATTAGATATTATCTGCAACAGCAAAAATGGTTATATTAGTGAAGGAATATATGGAGTCAAATCTGTGGGGTGTGATAAATGTAAAGATTGGACTAATTTTGAAAATGCTTTTGTTTCAAGTTGTATAAAACCATAGAGAAGTTTACATTTTCCTACAGTGAAAATGTATTTTTGATAGATTCTTACCTCTGTTCACAGAATAGCTTTTCCAGGCTTATAATGCTCTCTAATACACAAATTTTAACTCGCCACTAGCCTTGATACACGTGGCTACCTTCATGTGTTTTTACATGAGGAAGCTGCGTGATATCATGCGACAACCCTCCACCAACAGGAGTGCAACACAACTTGCAACATAGCTGACACCCTCTATACAACTTACCCAAAATTCACTTTGAGACTGAGCAACAGAAAATGAAAAGATACCAGAAGTGAAAGAGGAAGGGTGGGAAGTATGAAAGGAGGTAAGAATCTATCCGAAATGTTAACTTCCACTGCTTTACCTATCAACTGAGTGGAATTTAGCACACTCATGAAGAAGTCTCCATGATACATCACCCCAGTGACTAAGAACTGACAAGTGGCAAGGGCTCCCATACTCAATAAAACGAGGGGGGGAGAATCAGCACAATGGAGAGTCTGGGGGAAAGCAGTACCAGAGACAGTGCAACAGGTGAACATGAAACCCTATTTTAAAAAGCAGACCATTCCTGCTTCAGTCAAATGAATGAGTGGTAAGAATGGGCAGCAATCCCCTTCTGCTTTACACATGTTACTTTTCATGAGTATATGTTCCAGAGCTAACATATTTATGAAGCAAAACACCATGAGAAAAAAACTACAAGCAGTCTTGAAGTGGGAGTTATTGACTTGGATGGTTAGATAGTGTGGGTTTTAGAAAAGGTATACCTGGTCAGGCAGCACTTTCCACTGAGCGAGATTCATATCTGCAAGAAAAGGCCCCTGTAAAGAAGTAGAAAAAAAAAAAAAGAGTACCTACCCACTCATTGAGATGGTGATGGGAGATTATTCAGTAACTTGTAGAGCAGGAAATGTCCAGACAATGAAGATAATGGGAAATATATGTATGGGAAGTGGTCCATATGCCGACACAAACTATATCCTCTAATGGACGATAGAATAAAACAGCCAGGGATATGGTAAGGTGATGGATTTGATTGGAGGGGAATTGGAATAGATAACAATCATCAGGAGCCAGGAAAGAATAAGCTGGCCAATCGAACCCATAAGGATAATAGGAGAAATATCACAGGAAAGGGAAAAGTTCCAATGAATAAACAAACAGGAACCATGGAAGTGAACAGTGTGAACCAAGTAACAGTGGAGAGCCCAGACAGGACATTATAGGTAATCCATATTGGAATGATGATAAAGGTGAGAAATGGAAAGGAGGGAAAGCATAATCGGCTTCAAGTGTGGCAAATGTTTTGGGCAAAAATGACAAATCTGGGTAGAGGATGACATAGGTCCTGTAATGTAATGTGCAAGAGACATTAAGAGCAAAAAATCTGAATGTAGACATTCTCATGCCAAGAGAAAAAAGGTCTTTAATAAAAAATGATATAAGGAATAGGATGACATAGACTAGAAGGGAGGAAGTGTAAGTGTATGGCTGATGACATTGAGGTTCCAATCAGGAAGAGCGGTAGGATATGGGGGATGGCAAAAGTGGAGGGAAGGAAACAATAGGGTGAAGAAGTGAAGACATGACAAACACTTGTGAAATGGAAAGTGATAACCAGCAATGATAGATACCTAAAGCCCCTTGTCAAAAAGTCAGGTAAGGAAGGAAGTCAGGTATGGGAGTGTAGAACAGGATCGAGAAAAACCATGATAAGAAAACCAATGGCGGTAGATATACCACTTACATTGGTATACTGACATGGATGAAAGGCAAACAAAATGGGAAATCAGGGAAGCAACCTACAGAGAATGTCTGGTCCATCTAGTAATGAGAAAAAAATAACTATTAATTTAAGATGGTTCTTAATAGGGAAAAGAAGGATAATGTTTGGTTTACCAAGGTCTGAAACAGAAGGGTTAAGTTTAAGAAAGCTACTCTATACAAACACAATTGAATAGTAGGCAGGTGCCAGAAGATTTAAAGTTGGCTATTGCTACTCCTCTTTTCAAGAGAGGTGATAAAATTTTCCCAGTAATTATTGGCCTATTAGTCTTACATCAGTTTTGGGGAAGTTTTTGATAAAGGATCCTTTGAAAAGTCATTTAATAAAGTTTAAAATTTTGTTTGGTAGTCAGCAGGGACTCACTAATGAAAAAATCATGGCTTACTAAACTTTGGACATTCTTTGAAGAGGATACTGCTTATGTAGATGAGGGTACAAGTGTAGGTTTGGTGTATCTGGATTTTAAGATAGCATCTAAATGCCACATAAAAGGCTTATAAAAAGTTATCTATGTAGATGTGGAAGATAGGATGATTCATTAGATAAAACTGACTAAATGGAAAGAAGCAGAGGGTTGTTATAAATGGGAGTTCAGTCAAACTGGATTAATGTCACGAATAGCATACCTCAGGGCTCAGTGTTGAAACCTTTGCTCTCATTGATTTATATCAATAACATATATAAAGGAATGGTTAATAGATTATTTAAATTTGCTGATGACATTAAAAGTTTTGGGTGTTGCTGGCTGTAAATAGGAAGAGGATACCTTGCAAAAGAATTGTTTGATGTGTTGGGCAAATAAGCGAAGAATGATGGATATCTCAATTTGAATTATGAGTACAATTTTGATGGGAATA